TCTGGCATGCAGGGTCATATAGACATGCTAAGATGCATATCTTTCAGCCCGAAACGGGCCTTTTTATCCTGCGGCTTCCCTTCTTTGTAGTGAATCATTGCATGTTTTCCAGTGGCATTGTCTAGCCACCTTCCATTTTGAAATGGGAGCTCTTGTGATTAAGGTACTGTGTGGATGTGGCCTTATAGGGGGATTTACCAGTTCCTTTCTCTGAAACATAGCCTATAACACTTGCTATTCATATGCAAGCTCCCACCCAAATACTAACCAGGACTGATTCTGCTTAGTGTCCAAGATCAGATCAGATCTTGGACACTTTTTAATTTCTGGAGGAAGCCCCCAGTGGCGCAATGGGTTAAACCCTTGTGCCGGCAAGACTGCTGACCAACAGATCAGTGGTTTGAATCTGGGCAGAGCAGTTTGAGCTCCCTCTGTCAGCTCCAGTTACTCCTGCGGGGACATGAGAGAAGCCTCCCACAATGATGGTAAAAACATCTAACATCTGTGTGTCTCCTGGGCAACGTCCTTGCAGATGGCCAATTCTCTCACACCAGAAGTATCTTGCAGTCTCTCAAGTTGCGCCTGACACTATATATATATGGATACCAGAAATTAAACTTGAAGCATTATGGGTTGTGATAAAGAGAAAATAGCAATATGGATGCAAGTAAAATGAAAGGTAAGAGCCACTCCCTGGAAGGTCCTCTTGTGGCCCTCATGCCACTGTTAAGATAGCAATTCTATTTTGGATATGAAATATTTCTTTAGCTCATAAATAGAGCAACTCTTGGTTACTATGGAATAATTCCTATTTCATCTTCACCATTTCAAAAATCATTCCTGTTTCAGCTTCACCATATTATTTGCTAAACCTCTTAAACTTCATTATCCCCAAAGCAGATAAATGGCTTGAAGTCTCTGCTTTCAGGCTCATTTCAATAAGCTGCAGAAAGAAAGAAAGAAAGAAAGAAAGAAAGAAAGAAAGAAAGAAAGAAAGAAATTAGTCTGATATTTAACTCACAGACTGTGAGTTGGGCAGTCAAATTTAGCTGATTTAGATTTTTAAAAGATTAAAAATATGGCAATGTTCATGAGAAGTAATTTGGAAAATTGTTCAAGTTCATGTAATCAGAAAAAGAAAATATGTGTGGACTGTCAGACTAATGAAGTTGTAATAGGAGCTGTCAAAATGTTCTGGATAAGACTTAAGGCATTATCACACCACCCCTTTATATCATAGCAGAATGGTACAATTATAAGACATGTGACACAATCCAAACAAACAAAAAACACAGAAATCAGGCATCTTGCTCAGATGAGCTCCACATTCCTTGGGAATCCCTGAGGGAGGGATAACCTGGTCTCACCTTCACTGGATCCTCTGATGGTTTGTTCACAGAAGAATTTATTTATTTATTTGTTTATTTACTATACTTCTATCCAGCCTTTCTTGACCCCAAAGGGGACTCAAGGTGGCTTATAAGAAGAAGAGTGGGGCATGCGTATCCCAACTGGTTACTAAAAGGGGGATCAATGTGCAAAAAGTGTATTTCCAATGACCCTGCAATAGAACAAGACCTGGAGAGCAACAGCATCATGAGAAAAGGCTGAAGCAAAGTGGGAGTAATGCATAACGATGACAATTAACAACCTCAGAATTAATAAAACACAGACACCTGCCCAGAGTAGCATGTTGCAGTGTGTGAAAGAGTTGGGAGATAGTGCTAGTACCATTCATAGAATCATAGAACCATAGAGTTGGAAGAGACCTCATGGGCCATGTAGTCCAAACCTCCACCAAGAAGCAGGAAAATTGCAGTCAAAGCACCCCAGACAGATGACCATCCACCCTCTGTTTAAAAGCCTCCAAAGAAGGAGCCTCCACCACACTCTGGAGTAGAGAGTTCCACTGTTGAACAGCTCTCACAGCCAGGAATTTCTTCCTAATGTTCAGGTGGAATCTCCTTTCCTGTAGTTTGAAGCCATTATTCCACATCCTAGTTTCCAGTGAAGCAGAAAACAAGCTTGCTCCCTCCTTCCTATGATTTCTCCTCACATCTTTATACATGGCCATCATGTCTCCTCTCAGCCTTCTCTCCTGCAAGCTAAACATGCCCAGCTTTTTAAGCCGCTCCTCATATTGGGCTTGTTTCAATATGGTTGTTGCAGAAGGTCAATATAATTCCTGCTCCTCCAAATCGAGACCTTACTTGGGACCTCATCCCACAGATTCTGGGCAATGTTCCCATGCACTTCTGAAATGAAGTCCTACAGGAGTCCCATGGAGGCTATCACATGACGTAAGGGCACTTCTGGTGGGACCCTATTCCCAAAGTGCATGGAAACAGAGCCCAAAATACATTTAGAGGAGTTGGATGCTACCCAACTTCAAACAGCTAAAAGTAGTGGAGGGATGGAGCTCAACGGGGAAACACTCTCATGTATATGTGTGCATTAATATTAGTCATGGGCTATCTAATGGTGTGGATGTGTGGTTCATTTATTTTGAGTTTCCACCTGAACATTAGAAGAACTTCCTGACTGTGAGAGCTGTTCAGGAGTTGAACTCTCTAACCCGAAGTGTGGTGGAGGCTCCTTCTATGGAGGCTTTTAAACAGAGGCTGGATGGCCATCTGTTGGGGGTGCTTTAAACGCAATTGTCCTGCTTCTTGGCAGGGGGTTGGACTGGATGGCCCACGAGGTCTCTATCAACTCTGTGATTCTATGATTCTGTGAGCTGGAAAATGTTTCCATGCATATATGAACAGGATGGAGCAGGCAGGTGCAGGCAAAATCTCTTATACATTTATCATCGTATTTTCACAGGAAGATGCACACATGCAGTAATGAGTGGTTATCCCCTCCCCCACTCAATGAGCATTGACAGCCCACTGCTGACAAAACACTATACTGTAGAGCAAAACAGCGTCTCCACAGATCTTGTCCTTCAAGGCATTTTGGTTTTGATTCAGAGAAGATATATCCAGTAAATTGCAATTACAGATGAAGACATAATGTTAAAACCTGCTGATGCATGGATATTCCACAGAAGGGATTTGAGAAAAGTTGCTGCTCTTTCTCAAATGCAACTCTTTTTTTATTCATCAGTTTGACTGAAGTTATTTAGCATGAGTAAAGGGAATTGGGCAAACTTGTACACTGTATACGGCAGGGAGGAGTGTTGATACGATACGGTTCCCTGTGGTATTAATTAGTTGTGAACTAAGAAAATGCCATTGATTCGGAAAGAAAAATCCTACACATGTTCCTGTGCAGTTCTTTCAAAATTGTGAAAAGCTTGGTGGAATGTACCCATATCTCATAAGGAGCGGAAAAGATTTTGCTAACTCGGTTTCAAAGCATACAGTATGTTCTTCTTTTAAAAAAGGTGTTTTTAATGCTTTATTCCAAATGAGAACACTTTTGTGTATATTTATTCTGTTGTGGGTACAATGTATATATGGCGTCCAATGTTTAGAAGCTCTTTATGGTGGTTAACGTCACACCACTGGCACTCCTGAATCCTATATGGGTCAGAAGCACTGGATTTTTCTTTTCATTTTGAGTTTCGTCTTAACTGCTAAGTGGAACAAGTCTCCAGCTGGCTTCTGGAAGTGAAATCCTTACGAACAGAGGAGGAGGCCTTTGCATATATGCAAACCCGCCTTATCTACAGGTTTAATTTCCACGGTTTCACTTGCCCATGGTCAACCACAGTATATAAAACCCACTCAGTTTTAATCATGACTTTTCAACTTGTGTCTTGTGTTTACTATATTTTAATCTTGGTTCTGTGGATTTTAATATATGTATTTTATATAAGTAAAAATATGACAGGGGAAAACCTTTACCTATATATAGAAATACTTTATATATAGGTAAAGGTTTTCCCCTGTCATCATGTCCCACTCTGGGGGTTGGTGCTCATCTCCATTTCTAAGCCAAAGAGATGGTGTTGTCTGTAGACACCTCCAAGGTCATGTGGCCAGCATGACTGCATGGAGCACCGTTACCTTCCTGCTGGAGCAGAATCTACTGACACATTTGCATGTTTTCAAACTGCTAGGTAGGCAGAAGCTGGGGCAAACATTGATAAGATGGTGCTTTCCATTCTGCACCAGTATGGATAAATTTCCTCCCACTGTGTCTTCTTGCCAGTGATAATCATGAAATAAGAACGAGAACAGTCTAATTTTTCCTGAAACTTGCCAAAAAAATGTGTGCCCACAAATCAAACACATACATATATGCCTTTGAGTGCATCTACATTGTAGAATTCACTCAGTTTGACACTTTAACTGCTTGCTGAATGCTGTGGAATCATGGGAGTTGTAGTTTTGAGAGGTCTTTACTTTTGTGTGTTGTCAAAGGCTTTCATGGCTGGAATCACTGAGTTGCTGTGAGTTTTCAGGGCTGTAAGGCCACATTCCAGGAGCATTTTCTCCTGACGTTTCGCCTCCATCTATGGCAGGCATCCTCAGATATTGTGTGGTCTGTTGGAAACTAGGAAAATTGGGTTGAATTGAATTGGGTTGCTGTGAGACCCCACATCCTCTGAGGATGCCTGCCATAGATGCAGAAGAAACATCAGGAGAGAATGCTTCTGGAACATGGTCATACAGCCCAGAAAACTCACAACAACTCCGTCTTTAGTTTTCTCTGCCAAATAAAGGGCTGGTGCCTGACCAAACTACAAATCCCATAGCATTGAGCCATAGCAGGTTAAAGTGGTGTCAAACTGAGTTAATTCCACAGTGTGTATACACCCCCTATTGGGGGAAAGGGAGGTGAGACCTAATATTGGAGCCCAGGGCTTTAACAAGCAGCTTTGCCCCTCTGCGATTATTTAAGGTTGCCACAGGGGGGAAAAAAGCCTTTTATTGCCCCTCTCCTTTGCAGCCCCTTTGATGTGGTGCACTGTCAAGAAGCCGGAAGTACTGAATCAGGAAGCGCTTCAGCTGCAAGGCAAGAACTCTGGCGGAGGGCAGAATGGGCGTGATGGTTCCATAGTGTAGTGGTTATCACGTCTGCTTTACACGCAGAAGGACCTGGGTTCGAGCCCCAGTGGAACCACCCGGGGTTGGTTTTTATTTTTAGTCCCCTTCATTTTCTCTAAAAGCGGGATCATCCCAAAAGCAGGGATTTCGGTTTAGAAGCTGCCCAAACCCCTCCTTCCTGCAATGCATAAGAATCAAAGCGACAGCTCACATTAAAGGGCTCCACCGCACCAGATAGAAATGCCTGCTGCAAACTCCCTATTGAATCACATTATCTGGGGCTTTCTGGCTGTCAACCGTTCTGCCTTTGCCCTTCTCCAGAAATCCTCTTCCAATTAAAGAAATAACATAATATTGTGCGACAGAAGTTTGGAAAGGGAGGTTATTCCAAATATGGCAATTCGTTAGGAATGGGGCTGGGGGGGAAACACTCTGCACATGCTCAGAGGCACCATGGATCCCCAGGGTATATATATTATGTTTCATGGGATTTGTAGTTTGGTGAAGGCTAAAGACAAGTCTTCTTCACAAGCCTTTGTTGAACAAGCTTTTGTTGAACCACAACTCCCAAGGATCAATTGAGCATGAGCCTTGGGAGTTAAAGTGGTGCCCAACAGGGTACAGTGTTAATGCAGCCCAGGATTCAATAAAATGATCCCTGGGATTGTTGTAGGTTTTTCGAGCTGTATGGGCATGTTACAGAAGCATTCTCTCCTGACGTTTCACCTGCATCTATGGCAGGCATCCTCTGAGGTTGTGAGGTCTGCTGGAAACTAGGAAAATTGGGTTTATATATCTGTGGAAGGAACAGGGTGGGAGAAAAAACTCTTGTCTGTTGGAGATAGGTGTGAATCTTTTAGTTGGCCATCTTGATTAGCATTTGATGGCCTGACAGTTTTTCCCCCCAGGATGTCTCTCTGCCCCAAATGTGTCCTGTTCATCTTTTCACCAGCAATAATAGCTATGATGATTACTGGGAGGCTAAGGAACTATGGTGATATTGAAAAGGGGTTGCGGTGGTGCAGTGGGTTAAACCACTGAGCTGCGGAACTTGCTGACCGAAAAATCGGCTGTTCAAATCTGTGGAGTGGGGTGAACCCTCGTTGTTGGCCCCAGCTTCTGCCAACCTAGCAGTTTGAAAGCATGCAAATGTGAGTAGATCAATAGGTACTGCTCCGGCGGGAAGTTAACAGCGCTCCATATGCAGCCATGCTGTCCACATGACCTTGGAGGTGTCTACGGACGACACTGGCTCTTCAGCATATAAATGGAGATGAGTATCACCCCCCAGAGTCAGATATGACTAGACTTAATGTCAGGGGGAAACCTTTGCCTTTAGGAATTTCATCTTAAATGACAATTTCATGTCAAATGGTCTTCCCAGAACAGCAATTGCTGAAGAAGGTTTGTAAACCTTATCCGGGAATTTGGCGACACTTTTCTATAATGGGATGTATACATTTAAAAATAACTTGTTAAGGGTGTATCCATTTGGGTGGAGCAATAAAGGAAGATTCAAAATTTTACTCTTAAAGTTGTTTACATTGAGGGGGGAATTGCAATAAAGATTAAGTTTTGTAATCTGTTACTGAGTGTTTACATGTTTTGAGAGGGGAAGGCAAAAAAGATCCAGAATTATAAACTGTTGCTGTGAGTTTTCCAGGCTGTTCCAGAAGCATTATGTCCTGACGTTTTACCCATATCTATGTTAGTCATCATCAGAGGTTGTGAGGTCTGTTCGAAATTAAGCGTGGTTTATATATCTGTGGAATGTCCAGGAGATAAAGAACTCTTGTCTGTTTGAGGCAAGTGTGAATGTTGCAATTGGCCACCTTGATTAGCATTTAATAGCCCTGCAGCTTCAAAGCCCGGCTGCTTCCTGCTTGGGGGATCATTTGTTGGGAAGTGTTCACTGGCCCTAATTTTTCCTGTCTGGAATGCCCCTGTTTTCTGAGTGTTGCTCTTTATTTACTGTCCTGATTTTTAGAGGTTTTTTTTTTTTTAAAAAAACTAATAGCAAGATTTTATTCATTTTCATGTTTTTCTCCTTTTTGTTGAAATTATCCACATGCTTGTGCATCTCAATGGCTTCTTTGCCTAGTTTACAGCAGACCTCACAACCTCTGAGTATGCATGCCATAGATGTGGGAGAAACCTCAGGAGAGAATGCTTCTGGAACATGGCCATACAACCCAGGGATTCCAGCCATGAAAGCCTTTGACAACACATTGTTAAAGGTGCCTCCATTTCCTTTGTATTCATAAGATTATAATTATGGATCTTTTTTGTTGCCTTTCCCCCTAAAAATGTAAACAGATAGACAGACAGACAGACAGACAGATTTAGGGTTTTTCTATTTTAGGAGAACGCCTTGTGTATAGAGAGAGATGTATTGCAGTTTCATAGCTGTGTGTAATATGCAATCTCAAACAGACATATATCCTATGGGTTGCTGTGAGTTTTCCAGGCTGTATGGCGTTGCTTCAGAAGCAAAACTCACAGCAACCCAGTGATTCCAGCCTTCGACAACACATGTATTCCATGTTTATGATACACTTGTGTGATATTATATTCTGTATAATAATACGGGTGATTATATTGATTCACTGTGTTGTATTCCTTCAGCATCACTGGAGGGCCCCCTGAAGAGCGGCACACCAGGAGACTCCTGCTTCTTTGGAGAGGTGGAGGGGGGCACGTGTTTCTTTTCCCGGGTTGCCAAGGAAATCGGGTTTTAAAAAGAAACACTGGGGTGTGCAAGGCTGGCAGAGGAGGAGGAGGAGAGAAAGAGTTGGAGGTGGGAAGAGAAAAAGAAAAAGAAGGAAGGAGGGAGGAAGAAAGAAAGGGAGGGGGGAACGGAGCAAGGCTTTCCAAGCATCAGAGAGAGGCACTGGCAACTTCTATGATGATGCAGTTGATGCCTCCCACGCACCCCAAAACTGTGCAGCAGAAAAGGCAGCAGAAGAAGCAGGAAAATGGGAGGGGGAGATCAAGAAGCTAACCCCCACCATCACCCTCCTCCTCGCCCTCTCTTCATCTTCCAAATCTTCATCATCTTCTCTGCTTCTCCAACCCTGCATCAATGCACCAGCCACCCACGCCTTTGTGCTCTGCAGGGTGTTCCCTCTTCCATTCAATCCACATCTATTCCTGGAACAGGGAGCAGGGTCACTGAGTGTTGCAGATCATGCGGAGATTTGTTGGCGGGGTTATTTTTATTTTGCTGTCCTAAAAACAGACAGCCAAAGACAGCACAATGGCTAGGATGTTGGTCTTAGTGTGCATCAACGCTGCAGAATGAATGCCATTTGATACCACTTGAATTGCCATGGCTCAAAATTATGGAATCCTGGGAGTTCATAGAGATGGAAGAGACGTCGTGGGCCATTCAGTCCAACCCCCTAACAAGAAGCTGGAAAGTCACATACAAAGCACCCCCGACAGATGGCCACCCAGCCTCTGCTTAAAAGCCTCCAAAGAAGGAGCCTCCACCACAATCTGGGGCAGAGAGTTCCCCTGCTGAACAGCTCTCATCACACTAGAGAATGAATCCACTTTAAATCCAGTCCTGCCTCCTGCAGAATTCTGGGGTTTGTAGTTTAGGGAGGAGCATTTGCCTCACTAAACTACAAATCCCAGAATTCTGTAGGAGGCAAAAACCAGATTTAAAGTGGATTCGTTCTCTAGTGTGATGAAGTAGACAGTCACAAAGTTCTTCCTCATGTTTAAGTGGAATCTCCTTTCCTGTTGTTTGAAGCCATTGTTCCACATTCTAGTCTCCAGAGGAGCTGAAGACAAGCTTGCTCCCTCCTCCCTATGACTTCCCCTCAATTATTTATTCATAGCCATCATGTCTCCTCTCAGCCTTCTCTTCTGCAGGCTAAACATGCCCATCTCTTTCAACTGCTCCTCATATGACTTGTTCTCCAGACCCTTGATCATTTTAGTCACCCTCCTCTGGACACATTCCAGCTTGTCAACATCTCCCTTCGATTGTGGTGCCCAGAATTGGACACAGTACCTGACCAAGGCAGAATAGAGGGGTAGCATGACATCCCTGGATCTAGACACTATACTCCTATTTATGCAGGCCAAAATCCCATTGGCTTTTTAAGCATCCGCATGACATTGTTGGCTCATGTTTAACTACTTGTCCATGAGGACTCCAAGATCTTTTTCATACATATTGCTGTCAAGCCAGGCGTCCCCCATTCTCTATCTTTGCATTGTAGTTTTACAAGCTTCTTCGCCTTCTCTGCCAAAGACTGCTCGTGCATTCTGCCATGGCATTTAAAGTGGTGTCAAACGGCATTCATTCTACAGTGTAGATGCACCCTGAGATATCACTGAAGTTGCCAGTAGGTTCACATATGAAGATTTTGTGCCTATTCTATTTTGTGTTTCATTTATTTATAACATTGTTCCTAGAACAGTTCACACCTGTGCAGAAAGGACCCTAACCCCAACCCTCTCCTTCCTGCAGTGGCTCTAAATTCACCTTTATGCAGCCATGGCTGAAATTCAACTCCCTTGTCAGTTTGACAACATCTGGAGAGCCACAACATTTGTCCCCAACCCCAAGAGAGAGGTAAACAATGCACAGCACAATTTTGCCCAGTTTGCACAGGGAAAGGCATATTCATTTCTGAATAAACATCCACAGGAGCTTTATGGGTTTCCCTTGGGCATGTGGCTGCCTACTGTCAGAATAGGGTGCCAGGCTAGACTGGCTTAATTCACAATAGACCATCAGTGACCCAAGGAATTAAGGCCTGACAGACAACAACTATTGGTTCACAGCTTCTAGTAGCCCAGCCCAGCCCAGTCTTGCCAATAGTGAGGAATTATTGAGGTTGCAATCATAAGGACTGCATGATGCCCACTTCGACATGAAGTTATTACTAATCCCAGGTGTTATCCTTCTGTAATAAACTGTCTTGTAAGTATTCCTGCAAGGCAAGATTATAGTTCAGCACTGCTTCAGCTATTTTAAAAAGGATGTAAAGGGAAGACATAATAAGGGCATAAAGAAAATGGATAAGAAGTTGTTTTTCTCACTTTGTCATAATACTGAAACCTGAGGTCATTCAGTGAAGGTGGGTGGCTGGAGACGGAGGATTTGCAGATAAGAGGAAATGCTTTTTCACATAATGACAGTGAAACCAAGGAATGTACTGCAAAATATAGTGACTTGATCACCATCTTTAAAAGGGGATTGGGCAAATTCAGTGGCTGCTGATCAAGATGGCAATTTATTACCTCCAGTTTGGAAAGCAATGTGTCTCTCAGTATCATTTGCTGAAAAGCCAGAAGGTGCTGTTGTGCCCTAGTTTTGAGATTAACATAATGAATTGGTTGGTTGAACTAAGTGGGCCATGGGTCTGATTTAGAATAGTAATAATATAAATAATAATATACTTATTTATATTCCACTCTATCTCCCCGAGGAGATTCACAGCGGATTACAGAATACAGATATGGCAAACATTCAATGCTATTATACAATTAACAACAAAGACAAAAAGTACACAGACAGAGGAAAAGTCTTCCCCCTTTTCATCTCTGGAGGTATCTGGAGGCTGTGCTCAACTCCGGCCACGGGGAGGTGCTTTTGTTCTGTTTTCCATGCTGAGGAGCCTTTTGTCCATGGACGCCTTCCTGATCGAATTGCTGTCATGTCTGCATGGTCTCCTTTTTCCTCCATGCCAAAGTGGTACCTATTGATCTGCTCACATTATTGATTTCTAACTGCTAGGTGGGCAGAAGCTAGGGCTGATGGCGGGAGCTCATCCTGACTCATGGCTTTGAACTGCCAACCTTCTGTTTGGCAAGATTTTCTGCAGCTGGTGGTTTAACTTGTTGTGTTTCCATGACCCCAGGAGAGATCTTATTTACATTATTTGTGTGTGTATGAATGAAATATAAAGAAGAATGCACTATAGACTCAAAGACGTTTAATAGAATCACAGAATTATAAAGGATCTTATGGGCACTGGGTCCAGTGTCTTGCTCAATAGAGGATCTCCAGCTAAACCATGTCCCTCAGGTAGCTGTCCAGTGTATTTCTGAAGACATCCAGAGAAGGAGACCCCATTGCCTCTCTAAGCAATAAGCTCCATTACCAAATTGCTCTTCCTGTAAATATGTTCCTTCTAATGGTCTCCTGCAACTTCAAACCATTGGACCTGGTCCTGTCCTGAGGGGCAGTCCTGACATCTCCTCTCTGTAGCAGCACTTGAGATAGTTAAGAGTGTGACCATGTCACCCTCTGCCTTCTCTTCTCCAATCTGAACATGCTAAGTAAGCTCCGTTGTTGTTGTTGTTGTCGTCGTCGTCATCATCATCGTCGTCGTCATCATCATCATTGTGTGCCTTCATGTTATTTCTGACTTATGATGATCCTAAAGAGTGTATTAGGTGTTTTCTTGGCAAGGTTTCTTCTGAAGAAGTTAACAGTGACCTTCCTCTGAGGCCAAGAAACTGTGATTTGTTCTAGGTCACCAGTGGGTTTCCATGCTGGTCTCCAGAGTCATGGTCCAATGCTCAAACTATTACACTATACTGGCTTTCATTCAAAGATAAAGTTTTTTTCCTCAAATCAAATAAGGTATCTGAATTTGTGAAATTCCCTAAATCTGTTTATCCCAGATTATCTGGCAGTGCAGACTCATATAATCCAGTTTAAAGCAGACAATCTGGGATCAGATCCCGGGATAGAGGGCCTATCTGGAAGAGCCCTAAGATACCTGGATGTGTGTGATATACCAAGCTAAGGAGAAGGATACATGCGAAATGAGGAAGATGAGTGTCATTGTTAAAGGCTATTGTTGTCATATAGTTCTCACATTGTTCTCCTGAGATTTCAGGATGAGAAACCATATAAATTTAAGCCAGTTCTTTGTGCCTTTGGAATAAAGAACAATTATGCAACAATTATGTCAAATTCTGCAATCATTCTAAAATTTGGCTCTTTGATCAGCACCTAGGTTGCAATTTATTATCAGGCATTAGGCTTCTCAGCACAGCACATAAAATTCAGCTCTTATGCATATCTTCATCTGAATAGTATTTGTTTCTAAAGGAAGGCGCCAGAATGATAAAAGCTACAGGTGTATGTATGCAAAAATATATAATGTTTGGGGTTTGTTTCTTAAAAAAAAATAATACCCTTGACAATTCCTTCAAAATTGAGCTTAGCTGACTGTAGTAAAGTAGCGCCTGTCTTGGGTAAACCCTCTAAGAGCTAAACGAGAGAGTAAGATGCTTAATGAGACTGTGCTTAAGGTAATCATAGCTCTTTGCAGAAAACAGTGCCACACACTAAGTAGCCATTGTGGAAAGGCAAAGGAAAACAAAGATGCATCCCAAGCTCAGAAGTGTGGTTCTGTGCCTTCTTTTCTGGCTTAAAGGTAAGCACTGCTCATGTCTTTGAGCCTTTGAATGCTTTGTCCTCTCTGTTCCATCATGGGCCCAGGTTAATTTTGCTTGAGTCAAAGGAAAGGTTTGCCCTTGTAAGATGCCAACTTTCTCCTGTAATGTGTGCGTCTGGCCCCCAAAACAGATTTTGTGGCTTAACTTCCTTCGGACTCTCATCAAATTCAGATCAAATTTTTTAGTTCCTCATTGAAACCAAATTCAATTTATAAAGAGATTGCAAGTAGCTTGTGCACTGATTAAAATAATCTAGAATATTGTTTTGCCGAAAAGCAAAAGCAAACTTCTCATCCCTTTGGGGAAGACATTTTTGGCACTTCGTTCCAGTGTCAGAAAAGTGCCCCTTGAACTCATCACAGTTGCTTTTCCTTTTAAAATAGTTGTGTGTACAGGCAAATGGCAAATGTCTATAATGAGATTTGAGATTAAAAGAGAATTTACAGACAATAATCTACAGAGTTGTCTGTGTCTACACCACACCACACTAGGTCCAGAAAGCAAGGTTTTCGTGCCATAACACAAGCTGCTTTTGAGCTCCATTGATTTTCAAAAGCACCTTGCTATGGAAAACAAGAGACCTGCGGACTTGTGGGACTGACTAGTTGGACAGCTCTTTGGATTGTGGTCAAGATCTTTAAAAACAGAGATACTATTAAGAGGATCTGCAGAGCTGCATGAATGATCTCCCAATTTATCATTAGCCCAAGGCTAGTTGGGATGTCTGGCGGCACATGTGTTCTCTTTCACGTTAGTTTCTAGAAAGTTTTCTTTTCCCAAGATTCTGCAGGACCTGTTTGATAATCATAAAAGGCTTCTATGAAACCAATCACAAAATCTTGGTCGAAGGCAGAACAATTAAAACTGGGGGAGGCAAATCTACTTTGCTTTTTATTAGCGCTCCAAGAACCACCAACCAGAGGTTGGTACAAAATTTTTAAAAAACCAAACCAAAATAATGGCTTATACAACATTTTGTTTCTGCTAGAAAAATCGAATTCCTGTGCCATTCTGTTTTTTTTAATTAGCAGATATAAATGAAGCTTGACAGAATTAAATGATGGAGTTGGAACCCTGTTGGTGCTTTACAGAATTTGGATACTCTGTTACATTGGTATAGTGTGGTTTCTTGCAATGTTGCACAGCAGTGACTGATGAAAGAAAGAGAAACCTATGGAGACCACAGTGTAGCTTTCTCTCCAGGGAGCCATGGCTTTCTCTGCTTCTTACACAAACACACACACTCATAAACACACACAAACATGGCTGCACCCATAGCCATTCTTACTTCCCACGGTCACTGCCACTTATGCCAGCTTTATTAGTCAGCCCTATAAAATCTTGATGTGTTTGTTCTCAGAGGAATCATTCCGTATTATCCTGAGCTGTCTTCAGTTATGGAAGGTAATACGGGTTGCCTGTGGGTTTGGGAATTTTTGTAGTTATTGTTATTATGCTTGATACCTCATTTTCCCCCAGAGCTGGGATTCATGAAGCTGGCCTACAAATTAAATATAATTTAAACATGCAATGTTATAATGGAATGAAACTAACTATTTTAAAAAGTAAACATAGTTAAAATAATTCAAAGAGCAGTTTAAAGGAACAGCACAGTTAAAACAAAACATCTTCCTCAAATTCTTTTTTTTACAGACCAGAAAAGTCACAATAAAAACAAATCCTTTCCTGTCAAGAGGGATACCTCAAGGCGGGATGCCATTCTTGCTTCCCTTGGAAAAGAGTTCCATGGATTTGGCCCTATTTTGTGTTCTTATTTTCTGGCTTTTATTTTATTTCGTGTCAAAAGCATTACATACATAAATTAGTATAAAACAAGTGGATAAATAGTTTTATACCAAAACCAGGCAATGACAACCATATTGTCTGTAGCTTGAAGCAGTTCTTCCTCTGTACATGAGGCTGGACATTGTGGGAAGGCATACATGTGCTGAGTTGTTTGTTCTGCTCCGAAGTCACACAAGGAGGAGGGTTCTTCTAGGTAGTGCCATTTAGCCACATTGTCTTTGAATCTCCCAACACCACTTCTGAGTCTGTTCAGGGACTTCCAAGTTGCCCATTCCTGGTTTGCCCCTGGAGGAAGACCCTCATTGGGGGGGGGGGGGGGTTGGGGCATCCAGTTGGAATTGCCTAATTTTTCTGCCCAAAGGGATATTCTTGCTGTTGCAGAAGGAACATTAAGAGGAGTGGTAGTTCTCATGAAACTTTTCCTTGATTTTAGTCTACTGGGAGGTGGCTGGTAGCCATGCAGTGGATGGCTTTCACAGTGTTGAACCTTATTTCTCTCCTGTTGCACACCAGGGAGGGCAATTCCAGCTAGCTGATAATGTTAAACAAGTGGGATTCAGAAATCTTTGATGTTCCATTGCAAAAAAATATTATTTTTATTTATTTATGATATTTCTATCCCACCTTTCTCGAACCCGAAGGTGACTCAAGGCAGCTATTGGTAGATCTAGATTTGTACTCTTCCAATCCCTACAATAACGCATTTTCTTATTCAGATCTAGATCTCATATTTTCAGAAATTAAAATAAATGTATGGGGGAGGTCCATTTTATTCTAGAATAATAACAAGTTTTGTACTTTGTATAATTTTTAGTATTCTTGACTGAAGTATAGCTAAACCAAGATGGCACATATATTTTACAGATCACAGAATTAAACTTCATACAGTTGGAATCTCTCTCTTTCTGATTTACCAAGAATTCTCTTAAAGCATAAATTGCTGTATCATTTAATATAGATGAATATAATATTTGGCGGCAGGGGGATGTCTTGTCTTTGCTTTTCATTCCTTTGAACATTATGTTCCTTAATTATCTGACATCTTAACATTCTTTGCTTTGCTTCCTTTATTAGGAACAAATGTCATGGTCTGTCAAACAATTTGGATGCGGAAATTTCCTGTGCTTATTCTGACGCTTTCTCTAGCAATGTGTTTGCTTACCAATGTGTTTGACTGTTTGAAGAATAGATGAATCGTTATTCTGTGCTCCTATATGCTGTAATTCCTGCACATATACTTCTTGTTCTATTATTTATGTCCATAGTGCCTTATACCTCACATTTCTCCCTTGGCATGCTAGTCCTTTATTATAGTGATTCAATTTTTTTTGTATAATTCCCATCCATTCCTTTATATAAAGATAATCAGTTTAACTTAGCATCCCAAGAGGTACTGTCAGGTCATTCACATAAGCTGGGAGCAATTATCTTGTTCTTTGGAGTAACCTGCTTAGAAGTTCTTTTCAATTCAGCACGCAGCTCAGAGAGGAACCCTTTCTTGGCTTTCCTCCTCCGTTTAATTCATTTATTATTAATGGAGCTTTATAGTGCCATGCATTAACTATTGCTATATCTTGCATGAAGGATATTTTTTCCTCCTGCAGGAAACTTTAGTGTGAATGTGCTCTAATTCATTGCCAGGACCAAAATGACTTGTTGGAAAGCAATACTATACAACATTGTCTTATAATGACCTGTAATTGTCTTAGGGATGCTTAAAAAGGCAATCCTATGTGCATTTATCTGAACATAAGCCCTACTGAACACAATGGGACAATGAATTACATTGCAAAATAAATCAAAACAATAATTTGGAATGAATTGCTCAAAGTCCTAACCTTCTGCACATGCTGGTTCTTTCTTAAGGGCCTTTCACTGCATCACCATTACACCACTTCAGCTGCCATGGCAACATCCTAAAACTCTAAAATTTGTAGTTAGAGGTGGAATCATAGTGTTGTAACTGTCTGGTGTGAATATAAGCTTAAATCCTTCTACGGTGCCCAATTCCTTTCAAATGTGTGGATGTAATAAACCCAAAATGTGTTGTTAATAACCTTAAGTTTTTACTCAAAGCAATTTTAATATAGGCAGCATGATTAGTTATCTATACTATAAATGAAAAAAAAATGATAAAACATTTAGTCCTGGAACTTGGCATTTAGTCTAATTCAGTGGTTCTTCTCAACCTGTGGGTCCCTGAGTGTTTTGGCCTACAACTCCCAGAAATCCCAGCCAGTTTACCAGATGTTGGGGTTTCTGGGAGTTGAAGGCCAAAACATCTGGGGACCCATAGGTTGAGAACCACTGGAATCAGTAAGGGGAAAAGGGTTCTGAAGAGGAATTCATAGAATCATAGAATCAAAGAGTTGGAAGAGACCTCATGGGCCATCCAGTCCAACCCCCTGCCAAGAAGCAGGAATATTGCATTCAAATCACCCCTGACAGATGGCCATCCAGCCTCTGTTTAAAAGCTTCCAAAGAAGGAGCCTCCACCACACTCCGGGGCAGAGAGTTCCACTGCTGAACGGCTCTCACAGTCAGGAAGTTCTTCCTCGTGTTCAGATGGAATCTCCTCTCTTGTAGTTTGAAGCCATTGTTCCGCGTCCTAGTCTCCAGGGAAGCAGAAAACAAGCTTGCTTCCTCCTCCCTGTGGCTTCCTCTCACATATTTATACATGTTATTCATGTTATTTGTATGAGTGCAATGATATGAATGTACCTCTGACGCAATTTGGAAAAATATAAGCTTGATAGAATACTGGCCTGTGTGTTCATGTTCAAATATACTACATTATTCTATTTAACCGCCAGCATGGCATAGTGGTCTGAGCATTTGATTATTACTCAGGAAAGCTTGGGCAAGCCACACTATCTCATCTTCAAAGAAAGGCAACAGCAACTCCGTTCTAAACAAATTTTCCCTGTGATAGGGTCGCCATAAGTCAGTAATAACTTGAAAAGGCATACAACAACAACATAAAGAATCGTATACATTTCTATACCACAGACTCAACTTTTCCAGGACTGAATAAAATGAGGAATGGAGGAATCTACATTCAACACAGAGATAATATTTTATTTATAATAGAAGAAAAAATATGTAGGAATATTTATTAGTGTAGTTAAGATCTCAGTTTAATGCAATTATGATCTGTCATCTCATTTGTCTA